TCATTTTAAAACAAAATGTATTTTACATAATTTATACCATAGTTTATTGAAAAAAATAAATATATATTGATATAAATTATAAGTACTTATATTTGGCCAACTTCTACTCTCTAATCCACCCCTATATTTTTTATCCCCATCTAAGACCTTCCAATCTCTTTTATTCGGGATTATAACGTTTTTGCATGATGTTAATACTTTGTCTACTTATATATATTTAAAAAATAATATAAGCTTCTGTAGACATGGATATTGCTGATTAAGATTTCTAAATTTTTAATAATATTAAATATGTAAGGGATTTTAAATATTATAATTTTAACTACTTGAAAAAATACATTAAAATGATAAATATGATTATATCAGCGGCATCATTAGGAAGGTGCAGGGCATAAGCCTTTTGAAAAATTTTGGACCACATGAGGAATTTAAAATATATAATTGCTTATAGATATTAGTTTATTTTTTTGGTTAATCCGATTGAAAATAAAAGAACGTCATTTTATTTAAATAGTGCTTTCGAATTCACAAATAATAAATTTGAAATCAAAATCTAAATTTTGTTTTCAATCTATGTTCTTCCAAATGAATAAATTTTTACAAACAATTAAAATTTACAATAAAAGATATATTAGCAGTGTTGCTCGAATTTTGACTTCTGATAATATTTTCCTATCAATGCTACTATTTTTAAACTCAATAGGCATACCTTCCTAATATTTACTCGCTTGCATCTCCTATTCCCTTTACCTGTGATAAAGTTCTTAAATGCTTGAAGTTGTTTAAAAGAGGGACGACAGATAGTTTGGTCGTATTATTTGTTGATTAAATCCAATGCTTTGATAATGGTTTTATCGGCCGTTTATTTATATGATTGACAGAATTGTGAAACATACTCGAAATTTTTCTTTGTATACGCCCAATTCTTTTTGGTGCACGTATTGTTTCATTGACCAAACTTGATAGGGGGGTTAGTTTTACAACTTCCATTTGTCAGAATTATTTTAACTACTTGAATCAATCCCTTTAAATTAAAGAATCTTCCTCATCATCCCACGCTATAAATTTTTTTCCTCACCAAAAAATATTTTTTTTATTACCTAATTTCTTGTACATCTTTGACTCACCGGACGCTCCAATATAATTCCCTCCTTAAGTCCTGTTGTAGCTGTTGAAAAAAAGAAGAAATAAATTTAATATAATACATCAAATGTCAGTTATTTTCTGACAGGGGAATTAGTTTTCCTGGTGGATGGGAGGAAAACGAAATCATCACATGGGTTTTTTTAGAAAAGAACAATAAAAGTTTCTTTGTTTGCGATTTGGATGGAAGAAGACATATTGGATGAAGACGGGATTGATTGGGGAAGATTTAATATGTTTATGAAATATAATGTTCTATGTGCATAAATAAAGTGGACTTGTAGTAATGTTTATTATATTTATTTAATATTATTTAAGGGATTTTTTTCGATTGTTAAGTTATATTATTGAGAGGGAAGGGTTGAGAGTAAAGGGCATTTTTATTTTTTTTCGATAATACGACTTAAAATTAAAACATTTCATCGAATCCCTTTTAGTTAAAGTTTTCTGATTTTAATTGGTTGCCTCTCTGCTGGCTTACCATGGAATTATAATAAAGTTTTATCAGCAAATACAAATGACATTACCTTACCTCCCTGATCCAATCTCAGCGATATTGGATAATATTGTTCAATTTTAAAAAATGGGCATAAGGGATAATCTTGAATAAAGGTTTAAATTATAATTTAAGATTGTTATAATTTTTCATATGTTGGTTGTAAATTCAGCAAGGAATTGGCACTTATAATTCAAAATTTAAAATTCTCATAAAATATCAATCCCTATTTGTTCCATGTTCAGAATATATATATAAATAAAATTTTAAAATTTTAAACCTACTGGATGTAATGCCTTATTCGGAGATTAAAATTTTGAATTGAAGAACAAATCTCTAGAACTAGGTTAAAGGTTATATATGCTCAATTATAATATTTTAATAAAAATGTTTATGTTCTATTGACTGTTGTATGCACATCCTACATGACTGGATTTTCAATGAAAACTTACTCTTCCTTTTTCGCGATCATTTAAAATATTTTTTTAATTATATGTCTCTAAATATGATTTTGAAATATATCCAAATATTGAGTAGAAGTCATTAAAAAAAATTTTACATTAAAAATATTGCTATTTAAAAAAATATATGAATTTTTATATAAATTTTTAGTTTTTTGCATAATTAATAAATAATTAAAGAAATCGTGCTATGTTTACTTTATAAAAATCTTAAATAAATTGATAATATGTTTATTTCTTAATTAAATATTTATTTCCCCCTTACCTACCCTCTACTTCCTATTCTTTTTTTTCCATCTTTCTAAAAAAATAAAATAAAACAAAATAACAAAGATGAACCCTTTTACTCAATCATATGAATATTCTATAATTTTTAAAAAATATATTAATATTATGATTATTTTACATATTTGCTTTCTTTTTACGTAATATTCTTAGAATATATAATTTTTTTTTAATATTATTTGCTGATCTTTAAAAATGCCTTCAACAAAATCTTAACGTAAAATAAAAATATAATATAATAAAAGATTTTCTGATTATATGTATATCAAAGGATTTTTTTCAGAGTTAAAAATTATTGAAGATTTTTTTTTGCTCATTTTGGAGGAAAAATCATTTGAAGATCATAAAATTGGAATTTATCTTAAGATGATCAAAAATTTTTTATAAGTTTAAAATCATTTTTTTAATCGTTTTGATTATTTTGTAACAAAAATTTTTTGCGTAAAAATTCCAGAATTAAACTTTTTTTAAAAAAAATCTGAAAAGACTTGTCATATCCATCTTGACGATATTATTAAAATTCGTTTATTTAAACAAAATTAGTGTAGGGCATGGTCTTGTAGGTCCAATCTAAGAAAAATATCTATATATACAAAAATATTTGTGGTATCTGATATAAAAAATGCTCTATTTGCCTTATCTTATATACACAAAGGAATACTGGAATCAAGTAAACACTGGTTTTGGGAAAATAAAATATATCATTTTCAAGTTGTGATAGGTTTGATGTCAATCCATATGTACAAGTTTATTTATATAGAAATTGTGGTTTAAAATTTATTAAATTTATTATTTTTTCCTATATATTTTTGAATATTAATTCCAAACGACCTCATGCACTGCCGGATGTAAAATTATATATGTTGATGTGGGTGATAATTCTAAAAAATATTAAGTTAAATTACTAGTAGAATATTTCCAATTTTGTGACAGCAATGGATTTTAAAAAAACCTTTTTAATTCAAAGATTTTAGAATATCAAATTATATATAAAAAAATATTTAAAATAATATATTTTGTTCTTCTCAATGTTTTTATCCTTTTTATTTACTTTTATAGTTCAAAGATAACATTTTTTTTTGGTGGGAGGGGGATATTATAGATCTTGTGGTTCATTGTTTTAAAATAAAATATGACTTTAAATATCATCTTTAGATGTAGTTAGTTTTGAATTTATGAAACTAAACAAGGATCGGAATACAAACCTAGCTTAATTAATTTATTCAAATGAAACGTATTTTATTAAAGTTTTTAAACGATAGCTCGCTCATTAATTAATTTATTCAAATGTTGATTAACATTATTAGTTTAATTAAAATTGTATCAGCAAATAAAAAAGAATTGACCAGACCTGCCTGATCCTATTAAATTGTTAAATTTGCAAAAATGGATTTAGGGGGAAAGTCCAATTTTTTCTTCAAACCCAACTCCGCTTCTTCAAAAGTTTTAGAAAATGAGTCACCCATTACTCGATAGTTTTCAATATAAACCCAAAAATCATCCATATTCAAATTCATTTCATAATTTATTAGTTTAGTATTATTTCTAATTTTTCCCCTTTTCATCAAAGAGGTATTATTTCTTCGCTTGTGTCAAGACATAAGCTCAATGCCCAATGACATTTTATAGGAATTTATTTTGTGGATGATGCAAAAATTTCTTGCCCGCATCAAATAAAACAGACTCATATTATTCATTAAAATAATAATATATTTTTTTTTCGCAAGTCCTAAATCATTCTTTAAATTTTCCGAAGCCTATATATCTTCTTATTAATTCATAAGCTTTTAAATCAATAATATCGAACATTAAGAAAAAGTCTTTTGAGTTAAAAATATTTTTCCTATAAATGACCCAGAAGCATCCTTTCCCTTGATATCATTTGGACTATTCCAGCCAGATAATTTGTATTAATCGAGACTTTTATAGGGAACAAGTCCATACTCAGGTGAGTATGTTCTATTCTTGTTACTCTGGCTGTTTAGACAAAATTCATAAGTTTCTTTATCATTTTGAATATATACAAAAAATAATCTAATTTAAAAAGAAAATAATAAAAAGTTGCATGGAAGGAATAATATATATTCAATAATAATATTAACTAAGAATTAAAGATCTAAATGATAATCGAAACTGAAAAGTAAAGGTCTAAATATGTTTAAAATTTAAACACACCTAAGTGATAATATTTATATTTAGATATATAAAAAATTTCTAATATATTTATTTAAAAAAAATTAGATATTATCAATCAGAAAAGGAACCAATCCAATAACAAAAAATAAATATAAAAAATATTATATAAAATAATAATTAAAAAAAAATCAAATAAAAAACACCCCCCCCCCACCTTCCTTCCTGAAAAAAGCAGCAATATAAAATAATTTTGAAGCTTGCAGTAAAAAGTAAATAAATTATTTAAAAAATTAAATAATAATATTTCTAAAGGATATTTTAATATATATATTGCATATCTCATTCAAAGCTCCATTAAAAAAAATTATATTTTAAAATCTTGACTTTCTAATTGATTGTTTTTTATTTTCCTTTATTAAAACATTTTTATTTTATAAATCATTTTATTGATTATTAATTTTATAAAAATATGAATATAATTGCTACATTATTTATATTCATATTGTCACTCAATTTCAGCGATTGCCAGGGTAAGTATAATAATATTTTTATAGAAAATTTTCTTAAGATTCTTTTTTAAAATTAATTTTTCTATCAATTTGTTTAATATCGAGCCATTTTTTACGATAAATTTTCCGATTAATATAACATAAAAAATTAATTAAAGCCTTTTTATATTAATTTAAAAATTCATTCCACTAATAAAAAATTCAAGTAATATTTTTTAAATTTTAAAATGGAAGCTAAATCTTTATCAAAAGTGTGTGTTAGGAAAACATAAATACAACTCTTTTTAAACCGGTATCCCGTCTTTACAGAGAACTTTTTTAGAGAATGCAAATATAGAGAAACTTTTATAGAGAAAACAATTGTAGAGAATGTCGTTTATAAAGAATATCGTTTATAGAGAATAATTTTATAGAGAATTTATTTTATATAGAAACTTTTAAAGAGAAAACAATTATAGAGAATGTCGTTTATAGAGAATCTCATTTATAGAGAATGATTTTATAGAGAATCTCGTTTATAGAGAATGATTTTATAGAGAAACTTTTAAAGAGAAAACAATTATGTAGAATGTCGTTTATAGAGAATGATTTTATAGAGAATATTTTACAGAGAATTGTGATACAGAGAATTATTTTATAGAGAATATTTTACAGAGAATTGTTTTAGATAGAATTATTTTATAGAGAAGGGTAGAGAATATTTTATAGAATTTATAGAGAATGATTTTATAGAAAATGAATTAAGTATTATTTTAGAAATAAATTTTCTCAAAAAAACAAGCCATATGCCGTCATATAAATTCTCGGAACCCTTGAATAAAAAAAGGGAAAAAATAAAAAAATTATTCACGTTCCTGATTTGTATTGCTTATGAATAATTATGATAATATTTGAGTTTCCTATTGTTATTTTTTTAAAATACGCTTAACAATTAGAAGTAGTAGCTAAAATTATAAAAAGTTTCCTTCTTTATCAGTTTCTATTAGTGCTCCTTTAACTAGTAGAGTAACCATTTAAAAAAAACTATTAGCAACAAAGCCAGCCTTACGCCAATTGTTCTAGAAAATTTTGTCAATATTTAGTTGCTTTGTGCATTATTTTTATGGCCCGGCCCGAGTTTTTTAAAAAAAGCTTTTTTTGACCCGGCCCGTGTATTTAAAAAAATAAAATTTTAGGCTCGGCCCGGGTATATTTAAAAAAATTAAAATACGGCCCGGGTTTAAGGTCGGGCCTGTAGGTCTCTGATTTATAGGGCGCTTTTATAATTTCCCTAATAAATTGATTTTACCAATTCCGAAGAGAATCTACCCTAGGAATTTCATACGATTGCGCCAAAATTTTTTTGTATTTAATAATTTTATTTTGTTCTATTTTTTTAAACCATAAATTGAGCACGTTTTATTAAATTTTAAATCTGATTTTGCCGAAAATGCATTATAATATGTGTAGAATACCCACCATATAAATTTCAGAAGATCTTATATTGAACCTCTTAAGAAATTTTAATTTACATTAATCTGAAATTTGTAAATAGTGTTAGTAGCCAAAAAATCAGCTAAACATAATTTGGCTTAACCGAAAAATCGCCTGAAACTAATTAGACAAAATGTAGGGACTGTGAGCTAGGCTAATCGCCCGTCAGCGTTACGCAACACTAAGCCTAACCTTTATTAAAATTATTTTATATATTTATTATGTAACGATATATGACGAGCGATTAACAGAGCTCCTTAGCAGATGCCTAATTTTTGAATAATTAGTTTTCACCTATTTTTATGCTAAGCCTAATTATGCTTAGCCAATTTTTTAACCTAAAAACTTGGCTACCGTTTTGGAATTGCCTAAAATTAACCGATTGCGCAACATTAAGGGTGGGTATTCTACACTTATTCAGGTGCATTTCTGTCAAAATCAGATTTTTAAATTTAATAAAACGCACTCAATTAATGATTTTAAATGCAAATAATAACAAAAAATAAAACAATACCCATCAAACTATCGCCTTACCAAAATTAAGTTTAGTTAAAAGATCACTAGAGTACTGTCTAATATTCACAGGGTAGGCAGGGAAGACCAGGGGGTGGTTGGATCAATTTCTGTCAAAATCGTCATAGAGCCGAAAATAATTGTATCTGTATTTACAAAATACAAAAATTAATATGGAAATTCATGTGAATGTATAATATAAGTGTTAAATTGGTTGTAATGTTAAATATTAAAAAGTCTATATGTAAATTTATTGGTATATTTTAGGTGTTGAACTAATTGAAGGTTAAAAGTTATTTTAAAAAAAAGTTGTTTAATAAGTTTTAAAAATAAGTTTTGAAAAAAATAAGAAAGTAAGATGAGGTAACTTCTGGTGAAAAAAAGGGAGGCAATCCTTGAGTCTAAATTGGGTGGATTGAGAAGAAAGACTTTTGAATATTAATGTTTGAAGTTAGATTATCCCTTTCTTTGGAATTGAAGCCTCTTGAAGAATCATGTTTGATTTTGAGAAAATACACCTGATTTATTGTTTGTACATAATTGTTGTTAAGATTCAAATAAGTTTTCATTTATAACATTCTGTATTATATTGCTGGATTCAATTTTATGAGGTTGGAATGATGATGTTAAGGCATCGTTAGGAAGATGCAGGGTCCAAGCCTTTTGAAAATTTTTGGGCCAACTGAAGAATTTAAAATATATAATTGCTTATAGATATTAGTTTATATTTTTGTTTAAACCTATTGAAAATCAAGGAACGCCATTTTATTTAAATTGTATTTTCAGAAACATTTATAGTGCTTTCGATTCACAAATAATAAATTTCAAATCAAAATCTAAATTTGACCCGGTTCTATTGTTTTAAATGTTTTTTTTCAAATAAATTAAGGTTTTATTGATTACAAATGATCAAATTTAAATGCTGCTCGAATTTTGACTTCTGATGATATTATTTGTCCTATCAATGCTACTATTTTTTAAATTAAATAGGCGTTCCCTCTAGCATTTACTCGCATGCATATCCTATTCCCTTTACCTGTGTTGGGGTTCTTACGTGCTTGAAATCCTTAAAAAGAGGGACGACAGATAGTTTAGCTAGATTCACACCAGATATTGTTGATTAAATCCAATGCTTTGATAATGGTTTTATTGGCCGTTTACTAATATGATTGACAGAATTAAATAATAATGTCCTCATACTCTAAATTCTTCCTTGTATACGCCCTATTTTTTTTGGTGCAAGTTTTGTTTCATTGACCAAGCTTGAAAGGGGTTATTAAATACATAGCCTTAGGGTAATTTCTTCGTCGATTAGTCGCATAGGTTATAATAAACAGGATCTATTCTAAGGCCAGTTTTTCCCTATTTCCCTCACAGTTAGGCTTTGGAGTTAGAGATAGGTACAAAGTGACTTGAGCGTAATTTTATAAACACTTAAGCGGATAAGGTTTTCTGGAAGTTAGACTTCAGAAATGCTTTCAAAAGCACTCATGAGCCCATTCTTATCCTTTTTTAGAAAACATTTCGAATATTGGAATTTCCTTAATTCCTGCTCTTCATTTCTCTTGTTACTCAAATTTGGGGAATTTTCCATAATTTAGAAGGCAATCCACTATGTTATTTCCTCTTTACTATAGGTATTAATAATTTTATCAAAAATCTGAAGCCTGATTTCAAATTAGACCTAAATTTGATATCTCGATGATGGCTCTTTTAACGAATCTTTACCCAATATTATGTTGGCCATCGAGTACGTTGAAATCGAAGCTAAAATTGGTCTTAGCTTAAATATAAAAAAATGCGAGATATCCCTCATCAATAAGGATATTATCCCTCCCCTAGACTTTAAAATTATTTCATAGGTTCTCCCATCAGCTTTCCAACTTCCTTTTGTCAAAATTATTTTAACAACTTGATTCAAACCCTTTTAATTTAAGAATCTTCCTCATCCCACGCTCCAGTTTTTTTTCCTGACCCAAAAAATGTTTTTTTCTTACCTAATTTCTTCCACATCTTTAACTCCCCGGGCGTTCCAATATAATTCCCTCAAGTCCTACGATTTAAAATTAAAACATTTCATCGAATCCCTTTTAGTTAAATTTTCTGATTTTAATTGGTCATTTGCCTCTCTGCTGGCTTACCATAGAGTTATAATAATATTATCAGCAAATACAAAGAAAGTAATAGTACACCTGCCTGATCTAATTATAGCGATATGAGTTAAAATTGTTCAATTTAAAAAAATATGTATAAGAGAAATCTTGAATAAAGGCTTAAATTAATGATTTAAAATTATTATAATTTTTCATATGGTTGTAATTCAGAGCAGGAATTTGGACACTTATTATTCAAAAATTTGAAATTGTTTTATTGTTAAATTTTCTCATAAAATATCAATCCCTATTTGTTCCATGTTCAGAAAATATCTATAAAAATATGATTTAAAATTTTTAAATTACCGGATGTGAGGCCTTATTCTGAGATTAAAATTTTGAAATGAAGTTAGTAAAAATCTCTTGAACTAGGTTTATATTAAAGTTATATATGCTCTAAATTATAATATTTTAATAAAAATATTTACTATTGCATCTTGCAGGGTTTACATGACAGGATTTTCAATGAAAACTTTTTTCTTCTATCCATTTATTTCTCTTATCTTCCTTTCCTCTCCTTTCCTTTTTTTTGATAGTGCCTGTTAGATCATTTAAAATATTTTTGGAATTATATGTCGCAAAATATGATATTGATATCCAATATATTGAGTGGAAGAAGAAGTCTTTAAAAAAAAATTTTAATCTAAAAATAATGCTATTTAAAAAAAATCATATAAATTTTTAGTTTTTTTACATAATTTATATTTAAGGAAATCGAGCTATGTTTCCTTTATAAAAATCTTAAATTAATTGATAATATGTTTATCTCTTAATTAAATATTTATTTCCCCCTTACCTACCCTCTACTTCCTATCCCTTTCTTTCTTTCTTTCTAAAAAAAAGGAAATCAAAATAACAAAGATGAAACAACTCATAAAATCA